AATGATAAGGTGCTAGGTCTTGATAGATCTAAAACGAAGCACCCGAAACACACCCTGATCAACCAATTACTGCCCACGTTCCCTGCACTAGCAGTCCCCGCTGTGTAAGTCACGTGAAATAAGAAAGAAGTAGAAAGAAAATGGAAGATGAAAAGGAATGAGTCATTAAAATGAAGGCTAACACCAAAGAGTGAAGAGAATGACAAAATAAGAACTAAAAGTTTGAAGATGGATATGGTCAGGAGAAGGGAAAGGTTTCGTGTTGCCACCCAAGAGCGTCTAACTGACGCTCGAAACCCTTAACCGTAGGTTCACTGACTACGCTTTCTGGAAGCGAGTTCCAGCGCTCGATAACTCTACGCGATAACCGAGTTTCCGCCCTGATCTGGTCAGAACGCGGCTTGTGTAGCTTCATGGGATGACCGCGAAGACAAGGCAACCTAGCCGGGCTAAATAACCAGCTCAAGTCCGGTACAACCTTCCCTTTTAAAATGCGGTAAGTAAGGATTAGGTCTCTCGAAGCCATCGGTAGTGCATTGAATACATACCCAAACTAAGTAGACACTCGGGGTACGATTGCTCCCGTAACCCCACGACCAATTTGGTACCTCCTCTCAAAACCGTCTCGAGCTCCATTTTGTCCCGAACAAGGCAGGGCGGGCAAGCCTGGACGCAGTAGTGCAGATGGGGCCGAACGAAAGCTGAAAACAGCTTCACAAATAAGTCGGTAGTTAAAACCCTGAAAGAACGGCGTATTAACCACAATATTCTGAAACACCCTACTTGCGGCCTTCTTCCAGTTGTCACCAGAATGCAAAGACGAGGTATGGACGACGTTTAGGTCTACCTGGTTGGAGACAAGGGGGAGTTCGACCCCACCGAGTATGAGGCTCGAAGGCGGGAAAGGTATTCCCATACGAAGGACGGAACACTTAGCCTGATTTATGGGCAGTAGCCACACAGTAGACCAGTCCCAGAGTCTGCCCAGAGCATGTTGTATGGCCTCAGAACCCCCGGGAACATGCACAACATTCCATAGCTTAAGGTCATCAGCAAACAATAGGGATGATACCCCAAGCTCTCCAGGGAGATCGTTTACATAGATGGAGAACGGCATCGGTCCAAGAGCCGAGCCCTGTGGGACACCGCTAAGGACCGCTTGCCTAAAGGATAAGCTGCGACCACACGCGCACACTGCTCTCTTCCCTGTAAGAACGCAGATACCCAGGGAAGGACGCCGCCAGATACGCCGTAGGAGGTCAGCTTTTGTGATAGCCTCAAGTGGGGTACCTTATCAAATGCTTTCGAGAAGTCTACGAAAAGCACATCCACTACGTGGCCATTGTTCATTGCCCTCAGCCCAAGCTTCACGAGCAACCAACAAATTCGTCAGACACGAAGACCCTACCGGAATCCATGTTGTGCACCACTGATTAGATTAAATCTATTTAGGTGACATTCCAACGAATCTCCCACCAGCTTTTCAAGCAGTTTGACCACGACGCTAGTCAGACTGACTGGTCTATAATTGTCTGATAGACTCCTGTCTCAATTTTTGAAGATAGGACAGGTGACAGCCTCCTTCCATTCAGAAGGTAATGTACAGCTGTCAAGTGACTTCTGAAACACCATTGTCAGCGGTCCACATAGTTCCACCGTCAACTCATTCAGAAGCTTCGGGTGAATTGAATCAGGTCCAGCTGCTTTGGAAGGTTTCAGTTCTTGCAGCAGTTTAAGGACTTGCGTTTCCACCACAGTAAACTCAGCTAAATAAAAACCCTCAGGTACTCTGGGAATAAGTTCAACGCTAGTCAGCGCGGTTTCACGTAAAAAGCCCCTGCATACTGCTCCCCAAGTACACGATCCTTATCTGAGTCCGCATTTGCACGAGTTCCATCGGCCCGCATCAAGGTTGGGATTACCGAATTTGAACCACAGCGTCGCTTAACATAATCGAAGAACTTCTTCAGATTTTCCGAACCTCCGTCAGAAAATTCCATTTCGTACAACAGCCGGGCTTTCCTTAATTGTTTTTTCCACCTATTTCTAGCCTCGTGGTATCTATCATAGGTGCTAGTTGGTGAGGCCGCACGGTAGGTCCTCCAGCACCTAGAACGCTTCTGGAGCAGGTACTTGCCAGTGCTATCTATTCACGGCGGCCGCGCTCGTGTCTTCTTTCTCCTCGCACGCGGGATGTAGGGAGTAGACACTTCCGTGATATCAGATTTAAATTTATCCCAGATCGCCTGAACCGTATAAACCACCGAGATTTCGTAATGTAACCCAGAAGCTTTGATACGCATTGCCTGATTGTTAGCACGCCATATGTTTGAAAATGGCTTAGCAATGCTCTGGTGATGCCTGGTCAGAGTACACCTGAACGATAAACAAACATGACCACTAGCACCCAAGGGAGAGCTGTAAGTGATGTCACCTACGAAGTCTAATGACTTGGCAAACACTAGATACAAAATAGACGGGAGTTGGGCATCCATGTACCTAGTGGGGAGGTCCACGAACTGATGCAACGGTACTTGTAGCGTAAGCTCAAGAAGATCTGCACCGAAAGTACCTGCATCTGAGTTGCAAGAAAGATCTGCCCAGCAAACTTTTGGTAGGTTGAAATCCCCCAGTCAGTGTACACAGAACCGCGATGGTGCCGTTATCATTTACATTAAATTTTCATGATGCACGTTCAAAAAAAGCATTTCATGCTCTGCTCGTTACGCATCAGCTGTTTAGTCGTTAGGTGTAAACCAAGACTCCTGGACAATTATCGTACCATTTTATTGGCAAACATCCATATTTCTCTTAGCCGTCCCACCCCAAAGTCGAAAAATGTTGACAGATTTACCTTGAATTCTCATTATGCATAGTTACTGGCGCTTTTAACATATCTGACACCAGATTCATTGCGTATCTCGGGCTAAACAACATCGTGCAATCTCAAACCTAGTGGTTGTTTTTGTTGTTTACCGACCACCATCGTCTACACCTGAGATGGACTGCAACTTGGTGGCTGCATTGAGGCAGGTGATAAACAGGAGGTACAGTCACATTCTAGCCGCCAGCGATTTCAATTTAGTTGCTCTAGTATCCCAGGCCACACCAGGAGAGCAATTCAGAACAGATCTGCAAGTTCTTGTCTCAGCTTTTCCGCTTTATGTCCACGTGACTTCGCCTACCAGATTCAAGGGAAATAACGGACCATCCATATTGGACCGAATATTCACTAATGAATGACTGATGTTCGATAGAGTGATAATCGATACTCCTCTAGACCACAGTAATCATGCGAGTTTGCATTTCATTTACACTTGCTATGCTGAATATCTTGAGGACCGAACTCAAATAACGCGAAGTGTAACCAGTTACGACACCTTAACACGACTCGTTGATGCGACCGACTGGAGTTTCCTAACAAAGAATGCACCCGATATTGCCTGGGAACGTTCCGTCGGTAAGTTTAACACCTTGGTTAGTGGAGCACCGGAAACTGACTATCAGTTCGAGAAACATGGCGTCGTGTATACGGAGTAGGACACGCAAACGCATGGTGATGCGCAACGCGGCGCGGTATAGCCACAAAACCAATCCAAATTCGAGTACCTGGTAGGCATACGTTGTCCACCGTAACCACTGTACCCAATTAGTGCGCGAGGAGAAACTAGCCTATCAACATGCCCCCATGGCTAAAGCGGGATCTAACGGTCTTGGAGCTTCCATAAGGTCGGGAGACCAAAAATGTCAAGAGGCTGCACCACTTGTCATACGAACAGCGCCTCAGAGTGTTTGGCATTTTCAGTGGACGGTATCGCCATTTGTGTGACATAACCATGGTTTACCAAACAGTAAACAACACCCATCACCCCTGTCATCACCCACTGAAACTGAGTCAGAACAGCCAACTGAGAGGTCATCATCGCAAATTGACAGAACAATACAGTCGGTTAGAGTGCAGAACACACTTCGCGCTGCGTGTTTGCCACACGCGCAATACCCTCTCAGAGGCTTATTTCAGCCCCCATGTTAACCGTGTTCATAGCACGTGTCGACAATGCACTGGCCACAATACACCATATCACGTAATCCAAACGACCCATACAAACAGCAGCAAAGCATAAACAAACCAACCCACCTCCACTTTTGCCCGGAAACCACAGACGATACCTTTGGATAGTACCTAAAACGGACGGGAACTCTGTAATCGGCTAGTTCGCCATTTGCAGTTGTTTACTATTTCTTATTGCCATTTTTGCTTTATTTTGCTCACCCCTAAACGATCATCCAACGGGACTGTGGTGTTGTCATATTACTCCCAACTCTTTTTCATAGCTACTGATTTCTCGTGAATCATATGCTCACTTAGCGATCATTGGTCGAACGCTTGCTTGCTGCCGATTGGCTGTGTGAATGATTTAAGAGTCATAACTGTTGTTACGAGTTGATTGTGTCCACACATCCATTCAGTCTACTGGGCTCCTGTTCTGCTTTCAAGGACACAATAAATTGGCCTCGCGGGCTGTCAGTGTCTCTACACAACACAGCCCCTACTCAATTCTGGACGGATCATGCCATTACCCCAACGGCAGAATGTTGGGAGGATTGGCAAATTACTTCCTCAGATTACATTTAAGTTCTACCGATCCTGAACATTTCAGTGATGTTAAAGCCAGAGAATACTTTGAAGCTCCTTCGGCTGCATCTCGATTCTGAAGGCCGACGTATATTTGATGCCCTGTATCTTCGCGAAAACCCCACCCTGAATGATGAATTCGTGGCTCTCGATAAGCATTTGGGAATGCGTATGAACACATACACTTCCCGCTACAAATTCACCTAGATGAAGCAAACACCCAGCGAGCATTTGGACAACTTCATGTCCCGTCTCGCCTGTTCTGTGAGAAAATGTGACTATGACAGTGTTCCCAAGAAGAAGCATGCTTATACAACAACTGATCTCTGGCCTGTCCGATTCTCGGATCAGAGAAAGTCTGTTAATGGAGGACGCTGATAAGATCTCTTGGGATCGGGCCTACGACATAGCTCATGCGAAGGTCGAAATTAGTGAACAAAGTCCAATTTTTCTTTCCACCATTTCGTCTACTGACATCGATCGCTTGAACTCTTCACCATCTACTACGATATCCCTAAGTGGTAGCGAGTGTTACCGCTGTGGGAAGGCTGAATACCGCGCAAATATTCAAGTATGTCCAGCCAGAAACTCAATGTGTCGGAACTGCGGTAAGCCCGGACGTTTTGCCAGAGTCTGTCGTTCCCGCACCATATCACGTGTTCATCCCTCTACCAGTAACCTTTCGGCCTCCCCGACCAACCTTGAGCGGCCAATATTTGACATTTGTGAGGGTAAATGTTCGATTTCTTGTTCTGCTAAGGAGCCCAAATTGCCTTCCGCAGATATTCACACTGTTTTTTTGAAGTGTATAGCAAAAGCGTTCGTTTAGATATGGAACTAGATTCCGCCCCACCCATTACAATAGTTCCATACAGCTTTTACAAACAACTTTTCTGTCATCTACCTGTGCATCAATCAGTGTAGAGTTTCAGTAGCTACTCAAACGGTCCTGTGCAAATTTTGGTCTTCGTTACAGTTCCAGCATTTCTTAAGGACCGTAAAACTTGTGCAGTTGTAATCTGCGTTTCTAAGACCGACAGTAAGCCCCTACTGAAACGGAACGTTATGATTTTATTAACTGTGTCGCCCTAGGTTTACCGAATGACAATTGCCGATGTCAGTCACAATTCAATTCATTCTATCTACCCAAACCTTTTTCGTTTGGATATTGGCAGTTTCTAAGGCGATGCACTGCATTCGTTTTAAGGCAGATTACAAGTCATTAAGTATTTCGCAGCCTAGACCTGTACCCTTGGCAAAACGTAAGGCTTTGTCGAAAGCTTTAAAACAAATGGTCGACAACGACTTGATAGAACCGATACAGTGCTCTGAGTGGGTTCAAGCTCTTGTTGACCGAATTTAAAGAACTCCACGTCTCACAACCGCGGGACCTCGTCATGATTACAGATACCTGGTTAAACATTGAGATAACCGATTCTGAGATCAATTTACCCGGTAGGTCACTGCTTCGGAACGAGAGAAGCGAAAGGGGTGGTGGTGTGATTCTTTATTATAATACAAACCGATGTGGAGTTATCGGTCACCCGCAAATCCGTACTCCTGATTCACTTTGGTGCCGCCTATGGTTGCGAAGCAAGGTCACATGTCTACTAGCCGTGATTTACCGCCCACCAAATACAACGTCGGAAATGGACTCAAAATTGAACCACGTCTTTCAGTTTGCTTTGAACGAGTCCTACACCTACATTCTCGTCGCTGGTGACTAACGAACACGACATAGAAACGCCAGCAACCTGCCTGCTTGCAAGAGCTAATTGCTAGCCACCCACCGTACAACCACTTAACCTCTCCCAGCGGAGTTCGAACTGCTAACAAGTCATCGATACTGGATCTTGTGCTCACTAACGAAGAAATCATGGTTGACAAGATAGTTACAAGCACACCACTGGGTCGTAGTGATCATGTTACTCTTCTGTTTGACTATATATGCTATGCGGGATATCCTGAAAAAGAGGATGATAAAGTGCATACTGTCACGCACTACAATGTGTTATCTACGCTTTTTAAGACTACATCTTGGACTTACTTAACCGAATGCCCCCCCCCATGTTGCCTAGGAAACCTTTACAAGGACGTTTAGCACACTGGTTGCGCACGCATCGGAACAGAAGTCCTTCCAACCTCAAAACAAGCATGTCATTTCTGAGGAGCAGAACACTAAATATATGTCCCGGAGGGATTTGGCATGGCGTCCTCATAAGGACTGCTGGAATGCCGAAAGCTGGACTGCATACGTGACACATCGCAACTTCTGTGCGAAGCTGATCCGCGAAGACAAGGTGACGCATCAGCAGGAGTTAATGAATCGATTCTGCACGAACCGCAAACTTCTGTACAGGCATATTAACGGCCCTCGAAAGGTGAAGCGGGGGCTTCCAGCATTAGTCACGGCTGATGGATGCACACGCTCAGCAATGGAAGCAACTGATCTCCTACGGCTTCATTACTCCCAAACTTTCCAGCAGATAACGGGCCCAAATATTCTCCTCATTTCTACTACTCCACCGTCGGGTTGGACAACATCACCTTGACTGCGGAAGCTGTGTTGAAGAAGTTGTTATCCTTGTGTATTCACAATTTCCTGGAGTCGACGACATCCGACCAAAGACTCCGCAGGTGGTAGCTAGTGATCTAGCAGAACCACTGGCTGTTTTCTATCACCGATGTCTAGAAGAGAACCATATTCCACCAGTATGGAAGCGTGGGGTCATCACTCCTATCCATAAAGGAGGTAGCCGTACTGACCCTACTAACTACCGTCCAATAAGATTACTTCCTGTAATATTGCAGATGCGCGGAAGTAGTATCTGGAAAGCCACAACTTTATAGCCTCAGAGCAACATGGCTTTCGTCAAAGGCGTTCATGTAAAACTAACCTATTAAGTGCACCTAATAGCTGGACTGAAGCTGTTGATGATGGAGCAGGAGTCGATGTCATCTACCTGATCTTCTCAAAAGCGTTTGATCGCTTAGACCACCGAATTCTTCTTCAGAAGCTTCGGAACTACGGCATTGGTGACCCAATCCTAAGTTGGGTTAGCAATTTTCTGCACGAACGACGGCTGGAGGTTAGAGTCCGAGAATCATTGTCCGATGCAATCGATGTGGTGTGTGGTGTACTACAAGACTAGGTGCTTGGACCTCGTCTATTCTTGGTGTTCATTGACGATTTGGCGAGATCCATTGCCTCCGATTTCCTATTTTTCGCTGATGATATCAAGATGTGGCGAAGAATCAGATGACCGGAGGACCACGAACGGCTCCAGTGCGATCTTAAAAAGGTGTCGAACTGGTCAGTTCAAAGCGCCCTGCCATTCAACATAGACAAATGTTGCGTTGTACAATTACGCCATAGACCTGACTACGCATATTTGCTTGGGATAAACGGATTGCAGACCAGATCCCAGGAACGTGACCTTGGTGTGCTCGTACAGAGCGACCTCAACTGTTTAAAACAGGCTGAGGTAGCTGCGAAAAGAGGCAACCAGCACGTCAGCATGCTGCGAAGGGCATTCGGGGGATTTGACCCATCAATCTTCCCAGTGATGCACAATTCCTACCTGCGCCCGCATGTTGAATACGCTATCCAAGCTTGGCAACCTTGGTTGAAGCGGGACATAGAGATGTTAGAGGCACCACAACGAAGAGCAACAAAGAATTTAAACGGCCTGCGCTATCACGCTTACCACCGAAGGCTGAAGTTGTTGGGGATCTTCAGCGGACGCTATCGAAGGTTGCGCGGCGATCCCAAATTAGCGTATCAGATATTGAGTGACCCCATCCACATATGCCGCCATTTGCTGAAACTTAGCCATAACACGCAGCTCAGGGGTAACTGCTTAAAATTGAAGGAACAATATAGCCATCTGGAGTGTTGACGTAATTACTTTTCCCTTCGTGTTTGCCAACCCTGGTACGCAATCCCAGACTCAGTTGTATCCTCCCAAACCTTGGGCATTTTCAAAAAAACGATTAGAGGTTGCTCTTAGCTTCCAACGTCTACCTAAACTCCACTATTATGGATTACGCCAAGCATGCTTTTTAACAGGAGTTATGTAACAAATGGATCAAAGTGAGCGAACATATTTTCCTTTTGAACAATGATGAACAATGATTTATAACGGGGGAAAAAGCAGGTGCTTGACATGTCCCGTAGTGTGTTTAGCGTGACAAAAAAGATAGAGGAAGGGATAATGGGGTCGTCAGTTCGGGAGGTTACAGATGTAACTGCACTGTCGTATAAAGGGAGTTTGAAATGAGGATGTACGCACACAAAGCAATAAGGGGAGTGGTTATTGATCACATAATAGGCGAGAAAAAATAAAAAAGATAGCAAGGACAACACTTACTCGTGTGCAACTATCTTGGGTCGACAGGATACAGAAATCCAGTTTCTATAGTAGTAGCGTTTATCAAATTTCGTGCAAGGCGTTTGGAGTGACTCATTCTCGAGTAGAGTTATGGCACTATCCACTGTCTGTTGTGCATTAGTGCCAGCATCTGGTGGTCATGGGCCATAGCACGTAGTGTAAATGTGACAGAGTATCGTCAAGACGTTTTTTGAAAAGGGATAGGGTGGGTGCATTAATTACATGTTCCGGGAGGGTGTTCCAAGGCTGTGCCACTCGAAGGGAGAAATAGTTTTGCCGACATTCCAGGCGGCTGTATTGCGTGACTAACTTAAACTGGTGACCTCTTAGCGAGGTGTTTTGACTGAGTATTAGAAGGGAATGGCATGGGTGGTTTGGGTTTCTCAGGATCTGGTACACTATTATGAGATCGCCCCTTAGACGCCGATAACGTCCATTGTATATTTTGAGGGTCTTCAGCCTGAGTGGATAGGAGATGCTGGTCAAACCTCTGACGCTCTTCATCGCCCTACTTTGTGCAGTATCGAGCGCGGTGAGATGGTGCTTGAGTCAGGGTTGCCACGCTTGAATAGCGTATTCCGCATGCGACCTTACGTACGCACTAAGCATTTTTGGAAAGACTGAAGGGTCAAACTTCCCGAAAACTCTGCGAAGAAGGCCGAGGTACTGGTTTGCTTTCTTAGCTGCCTTTTCAGTCTGCCTAAAACAACCGAGGTCGTTTTTAACTATCACGTCGAGATCGCACTCGTGAGAAGCCCGCGGTAGAATTTGTGGTCCTAGGTGGTACTTGTGCATACCCTTGTGCCGTATGTTGAGAATTTTGCACTTGGTGACATTGAAATGCAGCATTTTCTCGATGGACCATGTGTACGCTTTGTCCAGGTCCTCCTGTAACACTGCGTGATCCTTCACTGCAACTATAGTGCGCCATACCTTTAGGTCATCAGCAAATAGCAAACAGTTAGAAGATAGCACGCTCGCGAGATCATTTATGGAAACCAGGAACAGGCGGGGTCCAAGTACCGAGCCTTGAGGTACGCCGCACTGAACTTCGATGGATTCCGACAGGTTGCTTCTAACCCTCACATTCAGGTGACGTTGAACGAGCAAGTCTCCTATCCAGCTCAGAACAGGATCGCCGATTCCATATTCTTGGAGTTTGTGGAGGAGAATGCGATGGTCTATACGGTCGAATGACTTTGAGAAATCCAAGTAGGTTGGGTCGACTCCTACACCAGCGTCCACGGATTCCGTCCAGCTTGCACAAGCAATCAAGAGATTAGTTGTACAGGAG